GAAAGATCAAGTTTCTGTCAAAATAAATTGAAGTGCACGTATTTTTTCTAAATTTTCTTTACCAGACCATGAAGAGTTTTCCATTTCAACCGTAAATGCATGATATTTTTCAACATAAACAGTTAAATTTTTTCTTGTGATTGCGATTTACAAAATGAGAAAATATATTCTGCATATTAGCAGCTTAAAAATGTCGTATTTTTGATGCTGTCTATTTGTAACTAGAGTTATTAATACCAAAATTTCTGCAAGCGGTGGTTGGTTGAAGATCTCTTGTCCACAAAATGAGCATGCTGAGGAATCCCCCGGGTTGTGAAGTAAAGTATACCCGTAAAGGTGATACTCCATGTCAAGCTGTTTTATGCGTCACTCCCAGTGACACCTTAGCGCTTGTGCTATCTCATGATGTAGTGGTAGAAATAACATTGCACAAGCATATTCGTATTTGCCGTATTGGCGGAGTCGCGGCCACTATTTGTCGCGGAGGCCGGGTTGCAGCTGTGCACCATCCATGCGTTGAGATAGTTCAGCAAGAAACACAAGTAAGACGAGCAGCATTTTCTCTTGAAAATTGCCTTTTGTTCGCTGAGAGCGTGAAATATTAAATGCAGCCATTATTTTTATTGTATACTGGGAGGGAGTGATAGCAGAAATAAAAGGCTGCTTGAAATTTTATATATTGCCAGTCTGCCAATGTCAGATGCTAAACTACAGGTGCTTTTCGATATGGTACAAGGACCACGGGTTCGAGCTACTAGAGATACAGTTCACGTCCTTGGCGTAAAAGGAAAGGACCAAACAGCGCGAGTGCACTCGATTACTAAACAAGAAGTGCTAACCCATGAAGACTTGTCTGTCGCAACGGATAAATTTTGCTTGCGGCGTGATATTGACGCAACGGCAGCTTTATTTTTGGATGATGTAGCGGGTGGGGATATGTTCGGCATCTATAACGACAAGCGCGATCGTTGCTTGTTGGCAGCCCGTCAAGCAACTGTGGAACAGAAAGGCAATCAACTGAACGCCATTGTTCAAGGGGTCAAAGTAAAGCATGAGATGAACTGTGGTGATACACGAATTTATTGTGGACGAAATTTCATTTCCTTGTGTGTTGCAACGCATGCGCTTACGCTGCACTCTCCATGGGTCGACATAAACGTTGATCGCTGGTCACGAACACGTTTACGTCGTGGAGAACAGATTATTGAGACGGATTGCAAGCGCCTGCAGATAAGCCAAAATAATATGAGCGCTGATTTTGCTCTAAGTCCAGTTGAACTCGCCGATGACCCTGCACCAATCTGCAAATCTGATAAAAATCATCATTCAAATCTTAGTCTTGATGTCGCTGTTGATGTCGACGCTAGTCCTGGTCCCAATTTCAGCTTTGAAGCTGGCGAAACCACAAATGACAACTCATAAATTTGTTGTTCAATTTTCAATGAAAACAGTCAACTTTGAAATTATATCTTCACATTATTTCACATCCATTAAAATTTTATGATAGCTTGTTCCTTTTTCAGCTTAAAAGATACCTTATATCTTCCAAAGCATGATGCTTCACAGTCCATGAATTTTATTTATACATACTTAATCAAATTGGTTTTGCATTTTTCAGAATTAAACGTGAAACAAGAACCAAAAATTAAATCATCCGAAAATTTTATTCTAATTCTATGCTTATAATATCTCACTCGAAGTTTCTACTTGATTCTCTATCTTTGTTGCATTACATCAGATATTGCAACTAAGTAGAGAGTTTTAAGTTTCCTGCTCTTCTTTTCCACGATATCTGTGAATAGTTATAAAATTTAGTGGTAATGATTTTGATTTAGGAATGAAGCATATTTTTAATAATATGAATTGTAATATAGTTATCAGTTTGATTATTATGTATTCCATACTTTATTTCCAATTCACCTCTGATTGCAGTATGTATCCTTTACTTCTTACTTTCTAACTAATTTCTTAATTATATGCAAATCATTACTTCAAGTCTTAAAAATTTGCTGTGCTGCAAAATTGGTCTTTACAGATTCAAATGAGGAATTTGTGTATTTCGATGTTTTCCACTGCTCTTTGTTGCTTCTTCGCTCTTAATATACATATTGTTATTTGGCAGCCATATGAAACTAATCATGCACCACAGTCTGCTGTTGATCATCTGGTTAATCAACCAATAAAAAAGATTTACAAGGTATTACCTCCATATCATTATAGTCTTTTCAGATGTTAAATCAAGAAACGTCTTTATAAAAACAGAATAAAAAAATCTTTCCTGGGAAGTTTGTCTCAATAATCTCAGTTTCTAATATCAAATTTATTTTCCTAAAATTACAAAAAAGATTATTTTTCAGTTATTTAACTACTGCGAAGCAATTAGTTAAGGCTGTAGTTTGCAACTTAGTGGTTAATTTCTCATGTTATCCACTTAGATTATACAAAGCTGCAGGATGTAAGCTTATCACAAATAAAAATTTTTTATCTACTTGTTGCATTTTTATCATAGAGGTTTGCAGTCAAAAAATTTTTTGATTGTACTTGTTCTTTATTTTTTTTTCGTTTAAATGAATTCAGCAGTAACATTTTCTCTATAACAGGTGAAGCTAAGCAAATAACGAAAAGTGACGTTTGATAATATTGAAATCGTTCGAAAAAAATGTATAAGACTAACAAAAAGCCTAAACCTGAGTTTAAATTTTGACATTAAGGACTGTGGAGTTAGAAAAAACTTTTTTTAAAGTTGCAACAGGCACAAATCTTGTAGCTTTCCAATCAACAACCTCTAGTAATGACAGAATAGTGTCTGATTTTATATCATGCAAAAGCAAACTACCGTAATACAAATGGAAAGACTCGTGAATTACGTGGGTACCACCAAGTGCTGCAACAAGATCTTTTTTAAATTGGTTTACAAATATATCATCAAGTGATCTCTAGAATATTTTCAAGGAAAATAGTATTCAGCATGCTAATCCTGAACTGTTATTAGGAGAGCCTATCTTTAATAAATGGTGTTACCTTTTTATAGTGGTGATTTGACTACGTCTGTTCCTGACATAAAATGAAATTTATAAGCTTTCTTAATAACGTTGCAAAATCTCACTCGAACTAGCACTTTAATTTTTTGTAGTTTTCATTGTTTGCTTAAATTTTCGGTTTGCAGATTTGATTACTTACAACTCTCATTTTGTACTTTTATATTGAGTCTACAACAGCATTTGAGGCAAGATTTACACAAGTTTTTGCAAGCAAAAAATGGTTTTTCCTCTCACGAAAGACAACTATGACTTCATTCAAAATGAATTATTTATGAATATTTTGTTTCAATCAGTGAATAACTGTCGGAAATGCCATATCTAATTTTCTTTCTCAGTCGATCAAATATCGATATTTCTAGTTTTGGATATCTCATTTAGGTAAAAATTTACTTCATCTGAAATTCTAAGCATCTTCTTAGATGAATAAATTTTATTGAAAATAAGTTGAAGATTAAGATTTTACTACTTCCGAGAGGATGTAGTTTATGTTTCAATGAAAAAGAGTGCATTAAAAATTTTTCACAAATTTATCTGCAGCTTATCAATAAACAATAAAATTTATATTTCGAAATGATCATTAGTAAAACTTACACAAATAAATTGAATTAAACTTACTAATGTTAAAGAAATTTGTAGAGGTTGTTTTTTCTGTTAATCATTCTTACTGACGCTCAAACTTGATCTGAGATATGTCTTATTTTTGAAGTTTATTCAAGCCTTTTGGAATGCCCATAAACTTTTCAATAAGTCGTAAAATATAACGCACGAAATTTTAATAGTTATCCAAGAGCTGAGTTTTACAAATAAGGAATCCAAAGGTTCATCTATAAAGTTCCTTTTCCAAAACTATTAAAATCACTCATGCTCTCTGGAACCAGTTAATCCTGTCTAAATTTGTTATTATTTTCTTTTGGAAATTAACTTTTTTTTTGAGAAAACTATTTTGAACTAAAAATGCAAGTATGTTCTAATTAAAGCTCCTTGTAAGTAAATGCTTTAAAAACTCGTACTCTTTTCTAATATTAACATCTATTTTCGTAGTTAAAAAAACGAGGTTTCGAACAGTGCCCAAGCGAAAGCATGCTAGTGTTATTTGAAAGATTTTAGAAATGATATCTCCTTTTCAACAGTAGCAACATTACTTTTAACAAAATTTAAATGCTTTCACAGGATTAGAGTGAATTTAAGCTATTTGAAACTCGATCAATGATTTAAAAGCGTTTAAAACAATTTAATGAAAAACTGAAGGTTAAAATTTTAATTCAATAGGTTGAAATTCATTTCAATTTGAGTTCCAGTTTTTATCTGAAGACAAAATAATATCCAGAGATTCATATATATAACAAGCTCTTTATATGATCACAGTGCAATATCAAGTACAAAGAAGAAAAGCTCTTAAAATACTTTTGCAAATATTCTTCATTTGTTCATTAAGTGATTTGTTTAAAAAATTTTATTTCATTCACTTCAACTACTCTACCTACAGATAATTACGTCAATTTCGCTTCAGGTATCAGCACGGAACAAAATTATTGTAATTTTCATTCAATCTCAGTCCAACAAAATATAGTGTTGCACCTTTCAGGAGTATATTAATGTAATGTTAAAAATCAAATATCATATTTGACCAACAAGCACACTCTATATATTCCGATGCTTGCGCTGAACCAACTACTGTTCACGCAAATATGAAGAGGTCGCGAAACTAGTCGTTCACAATATGACACGTATGAAAGGTAGCACTTCATAGTTTATAAAGCATTTAATTATGCAATATTGTTTATAAATTTGCTAAGGAACACTTTTTTGAGCATCATTAAATCAAAATAAAAATCTTTTTTCTTTCTTATTTGCATACATTTTTACAAGTTTTGTCAATTTACAAGTAATGTCATAAAATTATTTTAGTAAAAGAAGAAAATACTGAAGTGATGCTGTTTGTGGTTGGACAGAACTGAATCATTGCTTCACTGAAAACCCTTTCCTATTAATTATTTCTGTTACGACTGTCAATGATCTTCCAAATTACTTCCTTCATTTTCATTCACAGTGTATAGAATTCATTAGTTTGATAGTGTAAATAGTTTTTCCGCAATTTCCCGCCTCAGTAAAAGCTTATAAAAGCTTTCGGAGTTACTTTATTTATAGTTTGGCTGCTTATATAATAACAAGCTTTGAAAGCGAAAATATGAATTTGAATAACCACAAAGTATTTTTTGTCCTTCATCTGATAATTTTTGTTAAAACCTATCATACTGTCAACTGCGCACAGTTTTTAATAATTAGTTAATTCAGTATCAATCTATAAATAATTTAAAGTAATGAAAGAAACACGAGATGCATGATTTCTGTAATATGAATGAGAAATACATAAAACTGCATACAGCACAGGATTAAAAATGTTGCTTCGTTTGAAAATTAAGTAAAGTTTATAACTTTCAAAATATTGCAACCTACTTTCTCATTGATTTTCTTTCCATAAAATTGATGAAAATGCAATAGACAAATGTAAACAGTAAAATATTGCTGATGTCAATTTATTTCTTATATTTTTAGTCAAATAAAAATGTTTATAAAATAGCTCTTTCAGAAAAAATATTTTAAAATTAATTGTAAAGATATAACTAATGTGTTGGCATGCATTTTTGCATGCGTACATATTTAATTTTCTCAACAACCTGCAGATGTGTAAATTCACGATGAAAGACATGTGCACCATGTGCACATGTCTTTCATCGTGAATTGAAAAAAATCGCCAATAAAGAGTATCTTCATATTTGTGTTTGCAGTTAACTTTTTCTCCGTATAAAGGCCTAAATGATTTAGTTTACGTGAATTCTTTATTACTATTTCAGAAGGTATTGTCAGTGAGGATTGTGTAATTTTCATCATATTTTTGATAAATATTACTAACTTTTCTCTGATTCGAAACTAAATTGTGGTAAAAAAAATGATTTTGTGCATCGTGATGTAAATTTATTTGAAAATATTTTAATTTTCGAAAATTTGACAAAACTTGTGCTCAGTAAGTAGTGGAAAAATAAGAAAAGGCTTTCAAATGAAACAAAAAAGATGTCTCCAAAATTTATTAATATTTCAAGTAAAAGCTTAAGCTAATAAAAATAAGTGGCGAAAAATTTTCCCAAAAATAAGTGTGTTACAATCAACTGGTGAATGCTGCGATATCAGGTCATTTTTATTAATATTTTATGATGCATAAAATATGACAGGTATCTCTTTTCATTCAATGATTTTTGCATAAGTAAAGATCGCTCACAAAAATCCCACTGTTTAATGAAAACCCTAAATTTGGAACTCATGAAGGCTTCTAAAAGATCGTTAACTTTGAGTCGTTCAATGATTCATTCTTACGAACTACTT